ACACACCTGCTGTCCGAGGAGCCCAGAGTAAGAGAGTGTGTGTGGCAGGGACACCAGCAGTTGTGCGGCGTGGGCATCGTCTCCGTCCTCCAGGGGGCGCAGCGGGTCAGACGGGGTGTTGGTGACCGTGAGCTCCAGCAGCACCACCCGCTGGTCCGACAACGAAAACACCTGAACCCCAAACTCGTCTCTGCACAGATCATGATCATCATCATCATCATCATCTTCATCATCATGACATAGCGATAGGTTTCCTTAGCTTGTCTTATCTAGTGTACGGATGTGTGTGTGTGTGTGTGTGTGTGTGTGTGTGTGTGTGTGTGTGTGTGTGTGTGTGTGTGTGTGTGTGTGTGTTCTGCTGGCCGTTCTCACCGTGGCAGGGCCCTGAAGCTGCTGGCCTCTCTGCTGCCGAACTCGTAGCTCAGCTGCAGGTTACTCTGGCAGATCTGATCCTCTCCGCAGCCCTCACGCACAAAGTTCACCTGCACAGGTGTGTTCACACAGTGGCAATCAGCGAGACTACACGAGCTCTCAGCACACAATCAGGAATAATGTTTTGATAAGTTGTGCATTGAACAGTGATGATCTCATCTGCACGGGTAAAAAGATCACAGCATCTTCAGGCATCAGCACACGCGTGTACTACAGGTCAGCACTCCTCTGTGTGTTCACCTGCGACCCGTTCAAGATTAACCAAGCAGAACTGTGAGACTATCAGACTGACACAATCACCAGCTGCAGCAACCACTGCTGTTCACCTGGACTACACTTCCCACAATCCTCTGCACTGATCACCTCTCCACCTGTTCCTCATCACCTGCACTATTAAACAGCGCAGAATTTCCTGCATGGCGGTTGGATGAGTGCGCTCTAGATAGTGTGAATGTCAGCAGTATGAATGCGGCTCAGACGTTCTGCATCCACCATTTGACATGATCACGTGACCCACTCGCTTCAGCTGTGAACTGGGTGATCATGGGAAAGTGTAGCATCCACTGGAGGAGCACAGCAGAATCTCGTCAAAAGTAGTCCGTCGTCTGGGTACTTCTCGCATACTGTTTTTACCTCACTGTTTAGTAGAGAAGTGTGTGATTTCAGACGCAGCCAGAGTCTCACTGCTGCCCCAGAGGAGAAACACTCAACTTTCAAAACATTTAAGAACAGTAATCATGATCGTGTGTGTGTATGTGTGTGTTTATTTGTGTATATGATCGTGTGTGTGTGTGTGTGTGTGTGTGTGTGTGTGTGTGTGTGTGTGTGTGTGTGTGTGTGTGTGTGTGTGTGTGTGTGTCTGTGTTTGTGTCTGTGTGTGTGTGTGTGTGTGTGTGTGTGTGTGTGTGTGTGTGTGTGTGTGTGTGTGTGTGTGTGTGTGTGTGTCTGTGTGTGTGTGTGTGTGTGTGTGTGTGTGTGTGTGTGTGTCTGTGTGTGTGTGTGTGTGTCTGACCTGTGTGGAAGAGTCCTTCAGCACTAGATGTCTGATGCTGGACCTGATGCTGATGTTGGCTCTGACCAGCAGCTCTACTGCACTGACCGATGGAAACTCCTGTTCAACACACACACACACACACACACACACACACACACACACACACACATACCGTACACTAGATAAGACAAGCTAAGGAAACCTATCGCTATGTCATGATGATGAAGATGATGATGATGATGATGATCATGATCTGTGCAGAGACGAGTTTGGGGTTCAGGTGTTTTCGTTGTCGGACCAGCGGGTGGTGCTGCTGGAGCTCACGGTCACCAACACCCCGTCTGACCCGCTGCGCCCCCTGGAGGACGGAGACGATGCCCACGCCGCACAACTGCTGGTGTCCCTGCCACACACACTCTCTTACTCTGGGCTCCTCGGACAGCAGGTGTGTGTGTGTGTCTGTGTGTGTGTGTGTTTATGTGTGGGTGTGTGTGTGTCTGTGTGTGTGTGTGTGTGTCAGTGTGTGTTTATGTGTGGGTGTATACATGTGGAAGTATGTGTGTGTCAGTGTGTGTTTATGTGTGGGTGTGTGTGTGTGTGTGTGTGTGTGTGTGTATGGTCC